CATGTCTGGAATAGGATGGGAAGGCGATTGCATCTGGTGTGGAATGTTGATGACCTCGTTCGACAATTGGATCGAATTTGGCAGGAAATACCGCAAGAGACCATCCGCGAGCTTTATCGGTCTATGCCATGCCGTGTGCCAGCTTGTATCCAGGCTAGAGGCTGGTCAAGACCTTATTGAACTTGTTACTGTAACACTGCGATAAATTAGTCAATTGTTCGGAAATTTTAATCATTTACTATTCTGTACATTGTCTTTCTATCCACCAATTTTCGTTTCAATCGGACTACTCCTTCTTGGTGCGTCGATTTTTTTGTTATAGAGTGTACTTAATTAGTAGTTAAATGACTTTTTCTTGATATTCTGATTATATTCATAAATTTTTTGATTACAGTCATTATTTTTTACTTGTTAAAATGCGTCTAACACTATGTCTAATAAAGATCTAAAAAGAAAGCCAAAATTGCCACCCAGTCATGAAGAAATTTTGGATATTGTCAACCTAATTTTCGTTTTAACTAGGATAGCCGTTTAAAACGAAGAGTTGATAACATCGCACTTACTTGGGAACCGGAGAGAAAACGTAAAAAAAAGGAAGGCCGAGACTTACTTGGCAGAGATGCACTTACCAAGATCTGCGTAAAGCAAAACTAAATGGATGGGAGGCGACAGGAGGACTAGGTCAGGAGCGGGGTACCTGGAGAAAGAGACTTGAAAGTTTTTGTGCCAGCCAAGATGATAGTTAGGTTGGTAGGTAAAATGTAATAATTTGTAATCAGAGTCAGGTAAAGTTGGCTTTATAATAGACAATTTAGCTTAGTATTTGCTATTTAAATGTTATAAAGCTCATTTATATACATTTTCTATTTATGCTTCTTTTTTTACTAATTTGTGGTTTCTATACATATTCTTCTAAAATTTTCATACATATATTATTGTAAAATACATATATTATTGTTCCTATACTTTTATCCGTTTTCTGTTCTATTGATGGATTAACAAATCTCTTGATACTTATTTATCAGTTTCTAATTATAAACTTTCATCAAAATTGAAAAAAATTAACTCTTAATTTAAAAATTACTCGTTTTGCGTATTAATCAATACGCAATTTAAAAATATCCTTTAACGCGATGTTTATTGGTTTCGAATTATAAAACAATGACCATTACTGGAAAAGTTAAAGTGGCTGAGATAGTTTTTACGTCAATTTGAAGTTTGAAATTGATTCGAACTTAAAGAATATCAATGAAATATTTTGTGAGAAAAAGTAAAGCATCAAAGAGAACCAATATAGGAAAAAATCTTCTTGCTCCCCTTATGACAAACGGTAACAGAAACAAGGCATTATCCATGGATCAACGGATAATTGATTACCATACAGGTATTCTAAGATTACAAGCTTAGTATAGGGAGACACATTGTCAACTACCCACGCCATAGCCTAAAGGCTCATGCTAAATTTGAGAGCCTAAGTTATGATTAGATGCACCTAATTACGAATGTTACTAAGTAAACAACAAATAGGTGTACGGTTGCTTACAGAGAACGACCCATCTAAAACGCAAATAAATAAATAGGGAAAAGAATAATAATAAAATAAATAAATTAATAATTTTCAGCTAAAAATGTGAACTACACCATGTTACATTAATTTGTTTATGCAAGGTGTTACGTAATGGCCATCCTTAATATGCATTTTTAGGTTTCTTCCCCTAAATGGAGTCAAAAACTACACACGCTAGAGGTTTCAAATTAATATGAGCGAGGAAAATACTGACACTCATGAATTATGATGAATAATTTCTGAGAAAGATGGAACCGACAACAATAAGACATTTTTTTATTGTAATGGACAGGAAAGAAGAGTTTGTAAACAATTCTGAAGAAAACTTCAAGGTTTTATCAAGATACAAAACAGGTTTCGATGTTCTTCATAAACTGATGTCAATCGCTTCATTTAGTTTCGTTTTAATAATGATCTGCGAGCCCTAATATGCAAGCTTCATCCGCAAGGATTCGCAAAATATGCATTAAGAGCAGCAATTGTGAAACATTCTATATATTACCATTGTGCCAAACAGATTAGTGTTTAAATTACTAATGATTACATTGTTGTAATGTATAACTTTTTCTCACACGGGGGATGGCTTTTATTTCAGCATTGCTCGTGGAAGAAAAAATATTGAGTCTATAATTTCGAAAACACAGTTATGATTTTATTGAAAAGTAAACTTTCAAATAATTTACAAGAACACACAATGTATTTTTCATAGTTTCACATTTTATTACAAAACTTGATTATGAATAGTGAAAACAAATTATCACTAAAAATCAAATCTCGATCTCACTTGCTTAAATCTCTTTTCAGATAATATAAAGGTAATGATTGATGTTGCTTGGCAACAGATGTCCAAACTTTAAAATTGTGTACTGTACAAATACACTATTGACATAGGTATAATGATATAAGAGAGCATTTATATGAAGCTTCTCCGCCATACACTCCTCCACACACAAACAAACATAATACTTCTAATAAATTGTATTTATTTTAAACTATAGCTTTGAAACTTATTCCAACATAATTCCAAATATATTAAAATACCAATATATTAAATACCAATAATTTAAATAGTTTAATCACTGTATTACTAGCACCAGCAAATCTTTTTTTTTTTCAGTGTGGAAATCACGTCATTGACAGAACTGAAACTAGTTTTAGACACTTAATAAATAATTCCAAAAACCTGAAGTGGTGAGATATTACTAGATTACAAACTTCATTTGCTTCAAAGATATATAAATAGTAAATAGCTTTCAACATGTTTTAAGTGCTCAAAAACAGGGGTAATTTTTCATGACTTGCATGGAGGCCTGTTTTTGAGCACTTGAAACATGCGGATGTTATTTCCTATCTATATATTTTTGAATCGAATAAAGTTTTTAATCTGTTAAAAGTTTTTAACATATTTCTAAGTTAATAGAAGATGCATTACTGATATGTAATAGCAATTATAATAATAATACATAATATAAATTTAAATATCTTTCAACCCCGTGTTTATTCATTTCTTAAATTAATGTTTATTTAAGCATATAAACAAATATGTAACAAAATTTTAAAATGATAGAAACAAAACTTTAAAATGATTGAAAATTTTATTTTTTGTTTTATGGAGCATTTTAAAGCAAAAACTTTAATTAATTTTAACTAACAAAGATACAAATATCATATTTTTTGAAACATTCGTATAAAAATTAAAAAAAATTTAAATATATTAATTAGAATTTCTTATTAGTTTCCCCAAGAATACATAATGAATTTCTTACTAATTTTATTATAAATTTTTTAAATTAAAAAAAATATGAGTTGATATATAAGGAGCATAATTACAAAATAAATAAGTGCAGGCGTCAATAAATTTAATTAAGAATTATTTATTAGGATTTCCCCTTAATGAACTAATGCGTAATAATAATTCCTTTTCTTTAAAAATTAGATATTAAGTAAAAAAATGAAAGAATCTTGTTACTAAAATCGAAAACAAATATCTTTCTGTAAAAAAAATCATTTATAATTTAACTTTCATTGTTTAATTAGGAATTATTTATGTCAAAAAAGTACATCTAAGAAATAACTAAAATACCTTTGTAAATTGAAATTATTTTAAATTACTTTCTAATTAAGATTACGATAATTAAGAAGGCATTCTTTTTTTAATAATTACAAAAAATCTTTCTACCCATTGCAGTACTTTTAGGGGAAGTTGATGATAAATATATTTGTATTATAATACAATAACCAGTATATTCCTACGATGAAAATCAAAATATATTTTTTCATGAAATGTTAGATTTGAATGTGTCTTATCCTCTTGCGTAGTTCCTGTACTTCAATAAATTCGAAATGTCCTATAAATTCATCATATCCTGGAATGAATTCAGTTCCATTTCCTGAAGTATTCGAATGAAATATTTACAATAGATGAAAGATGAACACAATACCCTGTTTGAAGGGTACTGAAATCTCGTGTTTAAATTGTCAATTGTGCATTTTCAGAAGAGCAGCTGTACACGAAGTGAAACGAAATGAGGCTTTTCTTTCGCAGAGAAAGGAAAGCAACGGGAAAGTGTTGTTTATTCAAACAGACGTTCGAAGTCTTTGATTAGCACCACACACAAAATGCACTTATCGCAGAAAAGGGTTTAAGAGGAACCTGGAGAACAGGCGTATTTCTTATTTGGAGTGAAGTGGTGTTGATTTCCATGACATGGTTGCCCATCTATCTTTAGTTCTCTCGTATTTTAAAGATAGTTGATGGGAGCAGAAATTAATATTTCATAAAACCTGTGGGGAAAAATAAATTTTGTTAATTATCTAGCTTGAATATTTTTTTCTTTCAAAAAGTACATAATGCTAAAGCTGTTTCACTAAAAAAACATGTGAAGCGTAAGCAATCTATGGAAAAAACCAACGCAGCTAGAAGCGTTTTAAGATTTTATCCAAATTGAGAAGTAGTGTAGCGCAGTGTATTCATATAGGATATTTTCTCAAATATCCTATATGATAATAATATTGTTTGAGCTTAAATAAAAAGAAGTATAACTGTCTTGATGTACAAAAATTGAAATAAAGGTTTCAACGGCATGGTATAAATTAAAAAAAATGCAAATTGTAATGAATGGTTTGTTGTTGTTGTGGCTTATCCTCCAATTCCTGAAGAAGTCAGACAAGGAACATCAGACCGTTGATCCTAAGAAAATCGAGAACCAGAAGGAGGGATAAGTATATATCCTTTCTGGAAAGTCCCGAACAGTCCAGGATGTGTTCGGGAGAAGACTGTTCAGTTTGACATTTGGAGCAGACCTCGAAGAATCTCCTGCCCACGAAAAATGAGAGACTTTTTGTGTGACAGCTTGCTAATCTGGAAATTGCGGTTTTAAAAGCTCAGTCACAATTAAGGGCGAATGAAGAACCTGGCTCTTTGTCCGCATACCAGTCATGGCAGGGAGGAATCTTCCACCCCTTCGAAATTTCAGAATTAACAATGGAGTGATGTTCTAGGAAGGTAAGAGTTGAAGAGGAAGGATTAGCGTGATAACAGCCCTCCTTGGCCAGTCCATCCGCCTGCCCATTGCCGTATATGTCAACATGAGATGGGATCCACTGAAAATAAACATCGTGGAATTTTGAAATGAATGGTTTGCAAAAATCGTCAGCACTCAAAATGGCCCTCTACAGACAGATAGAAGATAGTCTTTAGATGTAAAAACTTAGGACTATAAACAGCTCTGTGAATTTACTGCTCGATTGTTATGTTGGTAATTGTTTTGCGATTGTTATGTTGGTAAATTTTAATAAATTATCAAAGACTTTTACCCGAAACTGTTTTTTTTTTACCCTTTATTTACTCAATCATTATAAAAGAAAATTTATATCAAAATTTAATCCTAAATGATGCACAGTGTACTTACAATGTACATTTCAGTTAATAAATATCCAGAATCATATTATTGAAGCTAATAATGAAGGCCTTATGTCAAGTTTCACTAACGTAATATTAGTAGTTATCTAGTTTAAATAAATTTTTATTTAGATTTTTCTGAAAAGATGCATAGCAGTAAAAGTCTTTTGTTGTAGGAAAAAATGAAAGAATATTCTCAGAGGAAAGCCATGGAAAAGTACCAATTCAAAATATGACTTTCATCTTAAATGATAAATAGTGTATTCATATTGTAAATTTTAATCAATAAATGCTCATATTCATATTATTAGATCTTGGATCTAACTAAAAAAACAAAATCCTTGAGTCAATTTTATAGAAAAAAAAATTTAGCTATCGAAGTTTAAAAATTTTTGTGTAGCTTTTTTTCACAATATACGCTGTTGTTGTTGTTGTTCATTTACGTCGTAGTAGAGCTGTACAATGGGCTATTGGCGACGGTCTGGGAAACATCCCTGAGGATGATCCGAAGACATGCCATCACAATTTTGATCCTCTGCAGAGGGGATGGCACCCCCGTTTCGATAGCCCGCGACCTTCACGCGAAGTCAAGCACTTTCCGGTAGCACAGTTTAACGAGGACCAATACCGCACACCCTCGGTCCCTACGCAGACTGATNCGGAGGGGATGGCACCCCCGCTTCGGTAGCCCGACGACCTGCGCGCGCCCGATAGCACTTTACGGTAGCACAGTTTAACGAGGACCAATACCGCACACCCTCGGTCCCTACGCAGACTGATCCAAGTGGTCACCCACCCGCACACTGACTGCAGCCAGTGATGCTTGACTTCGGTAATCTGATGGGAACCGTGTCTTAATCAGTCCACTGCGGGACCACAATATACGCAATTGTCAAAGTAGTTTGTTGTTAAAATTAAAAGAACGTTTTCAAAAAGAAGGATTCTATTTAAAACTAAATAATGGATAACAAGGCTCGTCTAACTTTAAGCCTAATTTATAACTTGCAAGCTTACGGGATATTTGATAAATTTATATTCTGATTCGTATATTGGAGTGTAACTCAAACATAGAAAAACCTTTGAAATATTTTAGTCAAATTTTAAAGAAATCTCGCTAAAAAAGGACGGTACTGGATTCTACCGAACTGCTATTTACACCGCAGGTAGCAAACATGTCGAGAAAGTGAGCTTAAGACTTCTATTTAATATGCAAGCGTCGGTTGCTGGGGGAACAATGTAAACCGAAAAATCCAGGTGTACTCTGAAGAAAATATAGGTTCATGTTATTTAATAAGAAACTTCTTTAGTTGGAAAAGACTTAAACTTTCATTCTTTAGTTTGCACTATTTTTGTCTTCTTTGAGGCCTTTTTGTCGTATTCTATAGAATAAAATTTAATTTCGATTCATAATGCCGAAAATTCTAATCCGGTTTGCAAGATTTGCTTGTTGGGAATCTAAAAATTGCTATTTATTAAAGGTAAATGGAACATAAAGGGCAAAACTACTTAAGGCGGTTGGCTTAATTACAAGTCGCTGATCGATGCATTCATGACTGTCAACTATCTAGAAGCAAAAGAAGTTAATAATTAATATAATAATACTACTTCAAAGTATATCTTTTTTTTTTCCTTGGAAGATATTTCTTGAAATTTTTCATACTCAAGACATTTTTAAAACAATTTTTCACTGTTTTGAAGTCAGATGAAGTCAGATTCATGTGATCTCAAATGCAATAATTGTATTGCATCTTAATATGTCTGATATTCTACAGTTAATATATATTTGCCTCATACTGAGTGCTTCGTATGGCGTCAATCCACTGACGTTCCTCACCAAATTACAAACTGTTTACGTTGGTTTTTCATTTTGTTTACATTTTATGGGATTCTCGACATCCATCGCATGTTTGCAGAATTATCTACTACAACACCAGATTTTCTGATGTTTTATAACATACATTTAAGATTTTTGTGACAATCATCCACAGCTTATTTTCAGTTTAACTATCTGGGGCATCTGTTAAGTTTAAATTAATTAAGATATATACCGCAGTAGTTCTAGACATTAACTCTTTTTTTTACTTCTCATGTCACTCCAGAGCTGCAAAACGAAAGGTTATTTTACTGACGATATGTTTGTGTAGTGAATTGTGACTGCAATGTTGGAGTTTGCAATCTCATGTCAGTGTTGTCTAGCAAAGTTATCTTACATGCAATATTAAGGTCGACTCTAGTATATTGTAACTACATTGTTTGAGTTTGAAATCTCAGGTTACTTTTATCTAGCGAAGTTGTCTTACAAGTAATATTAATGTCGACTGTAATAAAATCTAGTGGGGATACTAATGTTGCAGCTAGTAATCTCAGATTTCTGTTGTCTAGCTAAGTTACTTAACATGCAATATTAAGCTCAATTCCAGTTGACTTGTTGATGTGTACAAGTGTATTTTAAATTGATTTTTAAAAACTCGCGATACCTCTTAACGATTTGAAATAATTTTGCCCATGAACTCTTACAATACTTGAATCGTTTGATGATTCATTATTTCCCATAATAAAAGGTGTCAATTATTTTCTAAAACACAATTGTTTTTATTTTTTCCAACTCATGCTTCACAGTGCTGCATATTTCAATTGAATAAAAGTTAAACTATGCTGTTAAAGATAATTTTTAATCTACTTAATGTGATAATGCAACTAATATTTCTGATATAAAACATGATTGTTTTAATTTTTTCTAACTGACGCTTCACAGTGCAGAGTATTTTAATTGAATAAAAGTTAAACTATACTGTTAAAGATAATTTTTAATCTACTTAATGCAACAATGCAAGTAATATTTCTGATATGTATAAATTTAACTTAGCGACAAAAAATAATTGCAATATTTTTGGAAATTTTTAAATTTTGCAAATTAAGATTGTATAGAATTGATATAAGAGCAGCAGACATGCATACATATGATTTATAATTGAAAATTCTATAAGTTTATATTGCATATCTTCATAGATATTTTATTCTGTGTGTAAGTTTTGTATTGTTAAATTAATCTTTCAACAAAAAAAAATCTTAAAATGCCCACAACAAAGTTTTATAGTTTTATTCGAATGTACATAGCTATTTTGTTACTATGTTATCAAATTTATAAAGAATGAATAAACTTTTCTTTACTAAATTGAATTCATTTTTTTCTGTTGCATAGAATGAATAAAAAATTCTAAATACCTCTCAGATATTTTTAAAATAGCGGCGTAAGAGAAAAAAAAAAGAAGAAAAAAATCACGGAAATCTCGACAAAAGATTTCCCAAGGGGTAACTAAACACCGCAGCACAGAAAAAGCAAAGATTTTCTGAACGAAGCAACTGTCGAGGGGGAAAAACTACATTAAAAATATTTAGTTACTTTAGACTGTTTACTTTTCAAACTTTCTTAAAGTTAGATATACTGTAACAGAAAAACAGAGCCATTCTAATGTTGTAAAAAACACCATAATATTTTGAGCCAACTTAAAATTTATTGAATACGTAACGCTTCTTCCATTTTAATTCTCTTATTACGAAAATATTTCATATTTTTTCACTGATATTTTAAACAAGATTGAAAAATTATTGAATACGCAGCCATTGTTTTTTTTCTTCCTTTTTTTCTGATTGCAATGATATCGAATAGGTAGCATGTTGTCATTTACTGCTACTTTTTAAGATTTTTCTCTGATATTTAATATTTCTAAAGCACGTCAAATTCTTTTTTCCAATAAGTTACCATTTTTCAGATTAATTATTGATTTGTTACTAAAATTTGTATTTTACAACTTATCCTGAGCCCCCCAGGTGGCCGAGTGTTTAGCGTGCCTGACTGAGAAGCCACTGGCTGCGGGTTTGAATCCCGCTCTGGGCATGGATGTTTATCTCTCTCTGTGTTGTCTTCCGATATGAGTATGTATGAAAGTGGCCCACCCTATGAACGGGTATTTGTGGCAGTGTGGCGTGGGTAATGCTGCTCACTTCCGTGACTTTGGTTCACAGGTGCCCACTGGGTAACGATAAATGAGCAACACTTCCGGCATCTTCTAAGGCGAAGAAGGACAGTTCAGTGCCTGCCGTAATTAGAAAAAAAAACTTATCCAGAAAAGCCACAAATACGGATGAAAAAACAACAAAAATGTCACTCATCTAAATCTAAACATTATTTTTAAAAATTTCTCCTAAATCTTCGGCCGAACACAAGCATTATTAGTTAGTCAATAAATAAAAATTAGGTTACATTGTAATTTTTTATCAGCTCAATATGAATCTCTGTGGTTGTATAGCTTAATTATTTTGATTCATAAAAGAAGGTTTAATTATTAAAAGGTTTCAGAATAGACATTATGTGAGCAGAAACATTTAGATACCTCATTAGAAGTTAATTTCCACTTTGTTTCATACGTCTGTCTGTCTGTTTTTTGGTTTGTTCGTCGCTCGAGGGATCGTCCACTCAGCTCGAAGTGTTGTCGTTCCAGATGTAGGCGTTGAAACTGGTGAGAGTGTATGCAGGGGCACTGGTGGATGCTGATTTGGAGAAGTGTACTCCCTTAAAGGTTGTAGAGGACCTGTTGGCATCTGAGGAACAGAAGGAGAAGGCACCTGCTTAAGTAATGGTCTCTGATGAACACCCTAATCAGAAAGGACGAGCATTTTTTAGAAACTTCTACAACTTATTGTTACTTAGATGATTTTAGAATCAATCCAAAATTAAGGTATAGGATTTCAAAGTTAAGGTATGGAATTCCCAAGTGAAAGTTTTACAGAATGAAAGATCGATTGCACGCAATTTTTTTCTTAATCGCATAACATGACACCAGAACTTCTAAACAAACTATAATTACAAATTAACTTTCTTTTTTCAATCTTTGAGCTATAAGAAAGTAATAACGACGTTGATCTTACAATTCGCAGTGCGCGGGGCAAAAATACAGTCAAGTTCTATACCATTCAGTGATATTAGTCGTAAACGCTTATGTACTCTCAGATCAAAAGTTTGAATGTCAGTTGAAATCTCGAAAGAATTACCAGAAGATGTTGATTTAGATTTTCTGTGAAAATTCTATGGGGTTTTTGGAGAAAGAAAACGAATGTCAGATAGAATTGTTAACAGAAAGAACAATAGAACTGTTAGAGAAGTAAAGGAGAAGAAAACAGAATTGGAATAATTCAGATCAGAAAGATTTTTTCCGACAGATCAGACTCAATATATAAAATTAAGAAAGAATATTAAAAAATCGGCAGAGATGGTCTAGAAAATTGCATGCCGGATTTTTGCCAGAAAACCAAGAGGTTGCTGGCTGAGGCGAAGCAAGCAGACATTATCAGAACCTTAAAATATTACAGGAAAGGATGCAAACGAACGTTGAGCCTAATACAAGCAGGGTAGCTAAATATAGCTGAAATTACCCTGCTTGTATTAGGCTGAATCCGTAGAGATTATTTAAGAGATATTTATTATTATCAATAAATTCATTAATATCAATAAATTCATTAATATCAATAAATTCATTAATATCAATAAATGTCTTTATGATGGAAGTAAAGCACAGTTTGAGGTAGATTAGGTACTTACAGACTTTGACGCTCTAACAGGAGTAATATAGGGATACGCATTATCTGGGTTTTTTCTTCCTCTCTTGTCATTGACTTGATAATAAAGAATTCCACTTAAGAGCGAAAAAAAAAAACAGATGGAACTTAACGCCACACTTAAACATTTTGTTTACGCCATGAGAATTAATGCAAAATATAATAATAGGAGGAAAAAAATGAAGAAGTGATTATTTCATCTGTCTTAGAAAAATAGTAAACAATCAAGAAGGTAACAGTGATTATATTACGATTTTTTTGCTGTTTTTTTCTTTAACGTTAATTAGCTGAACTGCAAATTATCTATAAGTTAAAGGCGTAATTTTTTGCAGTTCGCCAATGCTACAAAATTAATATCCAAGAATTAATATTCAACTCCTTACGTTACATATGTAGTTGTTTATTTAGATTTATGCCTGGACTCTATTGCAAATGCCTGTACAAAAAAGAAGCAGTTGTTATTTAGAAAAACATTTATGTTTACTTTCCCCCAGTGAGAACAGAGGCAGTAAAACTGTAGAATAAAAGATGGATTGCAAGCAATTTTTTTCTTAACTACATAACATACCGAAACTTCTAAGCAAAATATGATCACAACTCTAGCTTTCCTTTTTTTTTCAAGCTTTGAGTTGAGCAGAAAGCAATAACAACGTTGATCTTACAATTCGCAGTAGGCGGGGCAAAAACACAGTCAAGTTCTATACCGTGAAGCGGTGTTAGTCACAAATCCTTTCGTACGCTCAGAACAATAGTCTGGATATCAGTTTAAATCCCGAAAGAATTACCAGAAGATGTTGATTTAGGTGGTTGAATCTTACAAGAGACGATTCACGACTGGCATAATTCACCCCAAATGGTCGTTCTAGTGTCTTTTGCAGCATTTCTGGAAGGCACAGTTGCATGAAAAAGAATACCCAATGGCTCAAAATAAATAAATAAGGGCAAAAATAGTAATAAAAATAGAACAAAAACAGAAAGAAAAACTCTGGGAGCGAGAGTAGAATTTACGAGCCGGACGCGGTACTTATCACAAGCAGACTTAAAAGTTAGATTTTTGTTTTCGAATTTCCCTATTTTTTCATTTCCTCTGAGAGCTGTGTTTGATAATGTTTATTGCCATAAAAACTAATAAAAATGAGATAAAGATGGGGGATAGTATTTATTTACGTTTTCCGGTACGAATGTTGGAAGTTGTAGTTATTTTTTCTAGCTTTGGTTGTTCATTATAAAGCAATATGTTTTCAATTTTCTTTCACGTCGTAAAACTTTTAAAAGATAAGAGAATGTTGAAATATGAGTCAAAAATCATTTAAAAGATTTGTTTTTGTGATTTTATCTTTTTTTATTTCTTCCCAAGCATTGCGTGTGTTTTTGTTTATTTTCGTTTTGTTACACATTTTTACTCAGTTTGCATTCAGCATTCCGAAAAGAAATAAATGTGGACTATAAATAAAAATTTAACATTTTTGCACAATTTACAAATCCAACGGAGCGTTGGATGTATCAAATCCGAAAGTTAAAAAACAAAATTGCAAGTAAATACAATATTTCATTTTCGAGAATTTAAATCTTTGTTATCGAACCTTTTAAATAAATATTTTGTTCTGAAACCGAAATAAAAGTATTAATCTTTTTTAAATAAAAAAAGAAAGGAAAAGGAAAGAAAAAGCCTCATTTATCTCTGAGAATGAAAAAAAAAACCGAAAATAAATTTTGTCGATGGTTTTTCTTAATGAATTATATAAGGTACTTCGGGGAAACGATAGCTAATGTTAAAAAATAAAGGCAATTACGATTTTTATTAAATAAACTAAAGGGATTTAATTAATTCTGTTCCCGAAAAATGTTCAAATCAAATATGTTAGTTAAATATATGAAAAAGTAGATCAGTCAATTGTAGAATACTAGATTGCAAGAGAATATTTAAAATTGTAAATGCAAATATTAATAATCAATATTATGTAAACAATTAATTTTCCCTTTTATTTTTATTTTCTTTTTATTTAAAATAATAGATAATAATTAGTGATCCATTTGGAATTTTCTTTCGAATGATTTTTAAAAACGTATGTTGCTTGCTATCCTAATTTAATATTAACAGATGTTTTAAAAGTGTTTTAGGTGTTTGACTGTATGGCGAAATGGGTTTAAGCAGCTTTGCGTTGATTCAAAATGTCATAGGGAACTCTTGATAAACTCATCAAATTGAGCTAATACTAACTTAAACGAGATTTGAAAATTAGTGATATAATTCGAGGTCGTGGGAATGTTATTTTCCAAATGAAGGCAAACTCTCCTAACAGGGACTAGGTACATTCAGTTTCGTAACTAATTGTAAAAACTTTCTTTTTTGTCTATTAAAACTTTTGCACAATATTTTGTTAATCAAAATACTATTAGTTTAACACCTTCTACAAAAACAAAAAAAGAGAAAAAAATTTTCGAAAGTTCTTCTATTCTTCAAACATTTCTTAGATTTCTCTGAACTCTTTTTAGAATTCTTTTACAATTTTATTAGAAACTACTCTCGATCCAGATATACGAAAAATGCTGTATATCAATTAACTCGAAAAATTTGCGAGCTAAATTAAATTTAAGAATAAGTTTAACGACACAAAAAGAAAACGAATTTTTAAGCATTCCTAGCTTAGCCTTCTTCAGTGGCGCTCTTGCAACGCTGCTTTTCTTGAAATTTCATCATGAAAAAAATATTAAATGTGATGAATGTGAAACTAATGAATGTGAATACGTACCCAGCTACCGGGAGCATAATCCATACTACTGAAGGCTGTATTGGTTTCATTTACCAATCTCGTTTCCCATGGTAAACCGTCTCCATGTCTGTCTGGTTTGTGTATATCTCCAATTTTGAGAGAGTCTGATGTCATTTCTACACCTTGAAAAAAGTAATATTCATATAAGAAAATAATATTCATTAAGTTTGATGATAAATAATATTCATTAAGTTTGTTATAACACAATATTTACAAGTTAAAGTAGTCGTTAGCCATTTGAAGTGATGAGACATTTTTTTTTTAAGTTTTCATTTTATCAGTTTGATACTTAAAAATAAGAATATTTTTTGTTAATTAATAACAAATTCAAGGAGGAATTTTTTTAAATTCTTATTTTGAAGTTTGTTGAAATTCACCATTTCTGCAGATTTTTCTCACACGCAGAAAAGGTATTAACGGTAAAGTGAAACATAGTTATTTCAAATTAAAAAAGAGTAAATGCAAAGTTCTGCCCTGTTTGCACTCCATGAAAACTATAATAAATTTAAAGTGCTTTTTTTCTGAAATTTCTTAACAATAATAAGTGATATTTATGATACATATACAAAAGTGTTGTTTTATATACATAATACGTATATATATATAATACATACTTTAAAATGACGTAAAAAATTGCATACCTAACAATTAAATATTATTATTAAATAAAATAATAAAAAAAAATGGTCGAAAACTTTCAATTGCTTTCCTGATCAAACAATAGGGGCCATATTTTTCAGATTGTGGCTATCCCTTATATTTTAGGAGTCAGAAATCCGAATTCGTCGAAAGAAAAGTATGTTTTTTCAGAGAAAGTACGGTTTTGTGTCTAATTTAGTAATTGAAAAATATCATCAGCACTAATTAATTAGCATATTAGAGGTTACCCCCTTGAACCATTAAGATTGAGTCTTAGAAAGTGAATATGCGATCAGTAAATCGAAAGTTATTCAGAGCAGTCCGTCTTTTTCTTCCTTTTTTTCTGTATATAAAAATATTTTCCGCGGTGTATAAAAATATACTGCTTGACCCATGTTAAAATCAATATCATATTCGAGAATTGTCTGATACTCGTTTTGAGACATTATTTGTGAGATAACAGTCATTAAGTTTAAGGAAATAATAAATAATTGATTTAAAGTGTGTAGTAAAAAATATTTAGAAAGTAAGTTGATTGATACTTTGATAAAAATAATAGGTAGATTTATAGATATGTGGGGGCGGAGTTATCGACCATGGCAACCTTCATCTATCAAAAGGAACCTCGTGATTGAATCAAGTTAACAAGTCTTATATACCAGTGAATTAATTTTAATTTTCGTAGAATAGAATTCGATGAACGGATACCACTAGTTGCTGCACTTGTGAAAGAGCAGGAGAGCTGGTTTTAAGGTCGCCGGGTTTTTGAGGACTGAATGTGAGAGGTGTATTAACTTCACAGTCGTAGTCGTTCCTGTGTTGCCATTAACAGTCGAGTGTATGCAGGCAGACGTTGCGTTTAATCGAGACGAGACTGAGTAGCAACAGCGTAAGGAGGTGGATAATGTCGCAGACACAAGTAGCAAGTCAACTGTTCAATGAGGACTATCCATCGAAGTAGGCGTTACCAGAAAGAAGTGGGCGTTACTGCGTGTTCAAATCATGTCCGAAGGTCACCAACGTGGGGAGTTATCGACCATGCCAGAGTTCATCTATCAAAAGGTACCTCATGATTGAATCAAGAGCTAGCATGTCTAATATACCAGTGAATTGATGCTTAATTTTCGTAGTGGTAGTTACGCCACAGATCAAAAGTTTTTGCAAATGTTGTATTATATTGGAATTAAATTAGTAGATCAAAAGTTCTATAGATATACCATGTGTGATGAGTTCAAAAAGAGCAACTCTGTTAGAATTCAAAAATGGTGGAAAGACAAAATATCTGTAATATCAAACTGAATCAGACTTGAAATGGAGACTGAGTGATGAACCGACCTTTAACCAAACGTTGTCTTGTGACCCCCTAGTGGAATGCCATTAGAATACATTGTCTTAAAAAAGTTCCTTAGGCTTTACATAATGCATAGAGTAGCACAACGTATATCGTTTTGTAAAAATTTATTCTTTAACGAATTTTAAAGTCCATATATATATATATACANATATATATATATATATATAACTATATATATATAAGAAAATAGCGAGCACTTCTCTCATAATAAAGCAATATCGTTTTTAAAAGTATTGACTGTACGTTCTTTATTATAAGTGTTTTTCATTATTTTATTATGACTATTATTTTCTACATTTATGATATACATTATGAAATAATTTCTCTCATTATTTTAAGACGAATTATTATAGTTTTTGAGTAATTTAGTTAAACACATTCATGAAAACTTATAAATATTCAGTTTCTGATACAAAAGCCTAACTATTATTTTCTAATTTAAATAAATCGTTATTTAAGAAAATCCAAAGAAAAGTTTATATATTCTTTTCTCCATTATCGTAAAATCCCTCATAATCTGAATATTACTTCTTATTCAATAAATACTTTCGCTAATTTAAGAAAAAATGAAAACTTAAGTACTTAATTATCTTAAGGCTTTTAATATGACGCAAATATTGTAAAAGTTTATTACTATCTTTCTCTGTTTCTGATGATTCAATTTAATCTATTTTTTAGTTGAAAATTTAATACTCTAATTTAAATACTTTGCTGTAATAATAATTTTAAATAATCATAGAAGCTTATAAATATTCTTTTCCATTATAGCGAAATCATTAACAATCTGATAATAACTTTTTCTCAATAACTCAGCAAATGTTCGATTTAACGTATAAGTGACATCCTTCTCTGCGTGGGATATACAGTTAAGACTAAAACAATAATGCATTCTATTCTTTAAAACGAACAATAAACTGATTTATCTTTTTGGACATTAAGTTTAACACAAGAAAGTTTATGGATATCCTGGCTAAATATAGTCGAACTTTCATTTTACAATATAATTCTCTAATTTAAATACGTTGTTATTCTATGCATTTTAAATTAACGCATAGAGAAGTTTATGAATGTTCTTCTCCGTTACAGCGAAATCACTAACAATCTGAAGATAACTTCTTCACGATGGCTTGGCGCATGTTTGAGATTGTCTAAGAGAGAGAGAGAGCTATAAAGGGAGTGGAGTCTTTTATCATCGTCAAAGAGAAATGTAACGGTCATATCTTCCGAGCCAACTGTTCATCACATTAATCACAGATGTATAATTCTCAGCTAAATTATAACTAAAAGCTCTTAACTTAGGGCGTTGTCTTCCAGAAAATGGTGATATTGCGTTTGTTCAAGAAGTCCAGATACGATTACAGTTACTGAAATAAAAAGGAGTTATAGGAAGAAAATTTACTTTAGTTTTTAAGCTGTTATTAATTATTCGGACATTCATAATTTTGTTATTAAAAATAAAGAAAATGTTACAGTATGGTTGTAGTATACTGATAAAAAAAGTTATTTCTTTCTTTGAAGAAAAGTTTTCCCAATTATAGTTTTAGAATGTTGCATGAGAGAAAAAAAACAAAGACATTTATTTCTTTTTAAAACTTGTTTTTTGAAGATAGATTTTTATAAGAATAGAATTTCAATATCTTCATTTTATATTGGGAAAATGATCAATTTCTGTTTTAATTCAGAAAATTAAACATAGTCCAAATAAGTATACAGAATTGAAGCTCAGAGTAAAGCATTTTGTTTACATTTAAGGAATAAAAAATTTTAGGTAAAAAGAAATTCATTTAAAGATGATGATTAATTTAACTTATTTTATTTTTTCTTACGTTTGAAACATAATGAGGGAATAAAATGAGTTGGAGCTACTGGAGGCAGCGTACTCAAAATTATATCAACTTATTAAACGTAAACAATGATTTAACTACCAACTTTTCAAAACCCATTTTATACCTTCCTTGTGAAGTCAAAATTTTTGTTTAAACTATTTTAATTATTCTTCAAAAAAGCAATTAACAACAGAAAAAATTAAAACCTGGAGAATAATGCTATTAATTCATGATTTTTAGGAAGTTAAAATATCCTTTTTGGGTCTGAATTGACCGCTCTGCATCATTCAGACTCTTAATTTTTTTTATTCATCTTTAGTATGAATTTTCCTTCTGTTGAAAAAGTTGCAATAAAAAATACAGCCCGGGATTCATTATAAAATAATTTGTAATAAATTCAAAAGTTTATTTTCAAAATTTTTATTTAAAAAGAAGTTTTTTTTGTTATAAAGAAAAGAAAAAAAAAATATGGAATATCTCTCTTCTCCTAAAATTCAAACCAATTGAACTTTCTCTTAACTATTTTCGAATGGTAGTGGTCAGGTTATTTTGATACGCTAACCAAAAGCTCCAAGTCAGAAAACTCACTCATTATTTTTATTACTTACTATTTAATAGCTAGTTAAGAAATTGTAAATATATTTATATGCAAACATTGTGAGTAATTTCAATTGCAATTAGTATTCTATCAGTACTAAGAGAATAGTTAATAATTAAATTTCAAAATGTATTGTTTATTCCGTTATAAAATGCGGATTTCATAAGAAATTACGTTGTATCAGTTTCCTACATATAATTATTGAATTTTCGAAATAAATTACATTAAATAATTAAAAAATATGCTTTGTTTTGCATTAATTTTTTTTAAGACAATGAACTTACAGTTTATTTTTTTTACTTTAACATTAATTAAAAAATCCACTCATACTCTTAATAATATTGATAGTTTTGAATATCTTCCAGGGAGTTTTTTTTGGATAACTCTTATTTTTAATGCATAACATAATCTAAGCTTCCTCATACATCTCCCTTTAATATAATACTGCTGATAACGATTTTTATGGAATCATCTAGCGTCATCAATTATCAACCGAAAGAAAAAAGCACTAATCTTTGTTGCACAAAAAGTTAATTTTAATAATACATGTAAGTTAGTCTTCTTGTTAGTCGTATGTAATTAGCAGTAATTAGTTAATTCACTTTTTTATCCCATATTTTTTTTCTCGAAATCATTAGAGACCAAAATAATATACTTGGTAGTAAAAACTGTCTTCAATAATTTCTTAGAAAGGTTGGTTATTTG